CGGCTCTGATCCTATCTAGCTCCTGGGTAAGGGCCAGACAGCTTTCCTCGGAGCCCACTGCCCTCTCCTCCGCCGCAGAGAGCCGCTGCGTTTGCTCAGTAATCCTCCTCTCAGCATCGGCAAGTGCGGCACTTAGCTTCTCAGCGCCCGACTTGGCCGATTCAGCGTCCTTGAGGAGTTGCTCTATCTGGCAGCCTTGCCCTACACCAGGGTAGAATCCCTGGGCAGCTACATCTTCCGTGTGCCCGAGCAAGGGCAGCTTCCGCTTCAGCCTTCTGATCCTTGGCCCTCTGAAGGTCCGTCCTGGACGCGTGGTACCGGCCAGCTATGATAGAAATCTGCTGGGCAGCCTGTAAAAGAAGGAAAGAATGTTAAAACACAAAAGTAGAAAACAAGAGTGAAGGGGTCGAAACGGGAATAAACTCACCACCAGGGAGTTCTGGATCATGGAGCGGAACAACACGTTGGTTGATCGCCCCCGATGAGCCTCCATGTCGGCCTCAAAATGCAATGTCTCACTCACTGCATAGGCGACATGGGGATCCTGCAGAATGGAATCATCGACCCTGATCACTCGGTTCATGTGATCAGTAGCCCGAGGATTCCACACCGCGGCCTCCACTGTGGATGGGAGGGAAGGAGTAGCCTGTTGCTGTTGCTGCTGCTGCTGCTGCTGCTGCTGTTGTCGGGGCTGCTGTTGTTGCTGCTGTTGTCGAGTTTGCTGCTGCGGTTACTGCGGTTGTGAGGGAGTAGAGGGTAATCCACGATCCCTCCCGCTTTGCTGCTGAGCGGGAGGCACCCTGGGTCCTCGGCTGAGGCCATCATGCCGATGCTTCACCCTCCTCTCCTCCTCCACCTGAGGGTCCCGATCTCGCACCTGACCCCGATCAGGAACCCTTGATGATGGGGCAGAGCTGGTTCCTGCCGGAGTACCGCCGGCCGTCCCTCGACCTCTCCCGGCCGCGAGGGATTGCCTCTGCCTAAGAAACCCCAAATTGATGCGTGGGGTGTTGGACATCGCTTCCTCGAGAGCGTCTTCGACGTCCAAAGTTTGGAGAATTTGAAAATCCGGCCACAGGTCGCCTCCCGAAGTCCCCACCTCGGCGTCCGAAGGGGCAACGTCCTCTCTGACCCCGACCTCAGCAACTCCTTCTACCTCTCCCTCTGAAGCCCGATCCGGGTCTTCTTCCAAGTTCTGCTCGACCTCTAACCTCGCCGCCTGATCAAAGAGCTCTGACCACTGTGAAGGCTCGAAAGGTTGAGGGAGCTGTGAGAACTTCTTATACCCGGGGGTATAGTGCAGCAAATTATGGGCAGCTCGGCCAAATCCGTCGGCACCCGTGAAACTCCAAACCGTTGTTAAGTCGCCAAAATTGACCAGCGACCGAGGGGGTGGAGCTGTTTCCCGAGAAGGAATACCTGCACAACAAAAAAAAGATTGTCATAAACACGAGAAGTCCCAAGAAACAAATTAAAATACCCAAAGGAACCGACGTACTTGTCGTTCTCCATTCCCGAGGGCAAAATAGGTCATTGTACTCGGGACCGACACCCCTCTCCCAACATCCCTTGAAGATCAAGATGTCGTCCTTGTACCCCTTGTCCGAGTCGGGAAGATGGGTTACAAGGTACATAGAGGGGTCCCTGGCTTTGAGGTAGAAATGTTGGTGGGGCATGACTCTTAGGAGAGAGTAACAGAAAAGGAGGTCATTGAGCCCAATATTCACCCCGAGGCGCCTATTGAGCTCTAGGACCCCCATAATTATCCGAAAGACGTTGAGGCAGCATTGCCCGGGGAAGAGACGGAAGCGAGACAGGAACTGAAGAAGCAGGGGGGGTAAAGGAAACCTAATGCCACCCTCTATGATGGCCTTGGTATAGAAAGGCATGGCATCCGTGGCCCCGAAGGTAGGAGAGTACAACAAAGGGTTAAAACCCACTACGTCCACGCTCGGAGGGATGCCATACTTCGCCCTGAACCTATCAATCTGTGCCTCGCCTGTCACCTTGTATTTCCTGACCCCGAGGGACCAGCCGATGGATTCTCGGGAACAGGGCGACGACGAGGCATCTCTAAAAGAAAGGGAAGAAAAAGGTGCTCTCTTGAAAACCCGAGGAAGTTCCCCGAGGGTTTAAATCGAGACGTACCGACCGGATGACACCACTGTTCAAATCGGAAAACAAGAAGACTAGGAGGACGATAAAGAAGAAGGTTGTGAAACTCACCAGAAGACGTCGGAAACGGAGTTTTTCCAGGAAAAACTTTGAAAAATGGCTCGCACCGGAAAGACCAAGAGTCAACAAAGGGTTTTACTGGCTGAGGTTTCAAAGAGAAGATGCTGTCAACAATGGCTGAGGAAACAAAAACTCCGGCGAGCAGATCAGAAAGGGCGTATTCTGGGTCAGGGATCGGAATGGCAAAACGAAGGAAACCGGAGAAGAACCCCCTTTATATAGGGGGGAAACTATCATCATTGGGCGGGAGAACCAAAAACAGCGCATTTAATGCGCACGACATCCCAAGACAGGGAAAGCTGCTCGAGGCCATAATGAAGGACGGATGGCAGTTGGAAAAACCCTTCGTCTCCTGACAACGCGTGTCCTCGGTGTCAGAAGATCGAAGGCTGGGGGCAGTTGATGGGACTCTTCTGAAAAGCCTATGATGAAGACACGTGTCCTCGGGGTTTTTTAGAACAATGTTACTCGGGTTCGAGCACCATCGGCAAGGCGTCCTCTCCCCCCGAGGTACCTCTCATATAGGATTACATATTCGGTACATTATACAAAGACATGTGTCCTCGGTCACCATGTACCTCGGGGACACACCACCCCTTGGTCCCGAGGTGAGCCTTTTCCTCGGCGCCGAGGGTCACTCCATCCTGGACGCTTCCTCTACTCCCGGATAAGGCCACTGACATACTGGACATCAGCCTATGCCAGTATGGATTAGTCATCATGACCTCTTCTTACACAAGCAATGTCAGAACGTTCTGGAATACCGACGTAACAGCCAACAAGGGATGGACGCGTGGCAAATAGTGTCACATCCGAAGCAGACAAACCGCATGCCGTTGCTGACACGCGACTTGGGAAAGCAAACAATTAATTGCACCCTTCTGTTGACGAGACCGCATTCAATGCGGTAAGGTTCGGATATGAAAGGCAATAAATGCTCCTATTACAGAGCATTTATTGCACCCTTCCCGACAGGAGCATATTGTACCGTCGGCGTCCCGACAGACTCAGCATTGATTGTTCGGGACCCCGAGCAGTCAATTAGAAAAGACATTCCTCATCAAATGATTACGCACGCTACCTGTGCCTGATGATTACCTACTGACCGCACTGACAGCAACCATGATCTTCTAAGGTATAAATACCCCTCCCAAAAGACAAAGCAGGGAGGCAATCTAAAACTCTCATCCTACGAAATATCCTTCTCAGTGTTTTCTCCTTCCTCTCTCTCATTCAAAGACTGACTAGACCGTCGGAGGGGATACGCCGGAAAACACTCCGGCGCCCTTCTAACTTGTTCTCTTTTGTCCCAGGAAATACCTTTGCTCGTACAGGATCGTTCCTCCTTTCCCAGGATCTGCCTTTACCGTTCCGGATTACCACCGTTCCTGGTAGGCTGTTTCGAGCAGTGTGTTTGGCCACTCAACCGGCTCACCCAAAGTTCACCAGGGGAGAGATCTGTTCCCAATATTTTATATATATCGTGCAGGATCAAGCCCGCACAAGTATCTAAAACACCAAAAGTAATGGTAATAAAATGATGGAAATTACATCTATACTCCAAATAACGTGCAACCATACAAAGAGAAACAAAACCCATCCAGCAAGCGTGACAATCCACTAAGCCTGCAATTACCAAATAAAATGAATTGGCATACAGACAAACGATAATCTCTTTGAATTAAAACAAAAATCAATGAAAGTGCATTCAGTGTTTTATACATTGCTAAAGTTTACCTTGTTAACAATGTTGTTTGAAAGCCAATCCAGTCCCTCGTATAGCCCTTCTCCAGAAGTGGCACATGTGCTCTGGATATACCTGTAAGATCTCTGAAATATCAGATTGTGTGTGTGCGCAAGAGGGAAGGAAAGGGGAGGCATGTCTATCCATATTACCAGCGTTGCTGTCGGAGAGACTGAAGGCCAAGCTTATCAGTGATCTCAGCAGCATTCATTGCATTGGGAAGATCTTGCTTGTTTGCAAACACAAGCAACACGGCATCCTTTAATTCATCCTGCAGACAAATAAAGAGATGGTGTCAACAAAATGAAATATTTCAGAATGCAGGTACTTAAACTTTACAAAGAAGTTTCTCCACCAGAACTTTTCTTTCTTTTTTTTGACTTATTTACAGATTACCTTACATTACAAACAATAACCGGTAAGTTCAAATAACAAAACACGGTAGTACCTCATTCAACAACTTGTGCAGCTTATCTCTTGCCTCACCCGCACGATCTCGATCATTGCTATCGACCACAAAGATAAGCCCTTGTGTGTTCGAGAAGTAAAACCTCCACAAACGACTAATCTAGAACCGACTTAAAACAAAATCGAGAATTATAAAAATATTTTAAAAAATAAAAACACATCCAAACAAAAATCAAAATATTTTGAGTAAATACAAAACAACAAAAGCTAGATATTTTGAGTAAATATATAAATTCAGTATACTTCTCAACCCAACTCAAAAACAGATTTGATACATGGCAATATAAGTACCCCGGGGGGGGGGGGTTGTATGTGTGTGTTTACATTGATTAACCGAAGAATGAACAACACGCAACTTTAACCACATTATCAATTAATAGGCACCATAAGAAAGACTAAAAGAGAAGGTAGTCAAGTTACATCTGGTATACAGTAATGTTGAGTGGTGTCAAGAAAAGCAATGCTGGTGCTCAACAGTTTCCCGTCAAAGAAATATGCAAACTCATTTTGCATGCCAATTTATGCTGCATCCATACACAAGTTCAAAAGGCCTACAAATGTGAGCCACAACATGGATGCCTTCACTTTGTGAACTTCAAGGAAGACTGACAGCCAAGGTGGTCCACATAAATCTAGTTTATGATAATATTAAGTGCTGATACAGAGCACAATCAGCACCAGACCATCCAAAAGCACATCCCATAGTGTTAAGAGAGCTTGTATCCCACATCGAATAATTAGGACAACCAAGATAGGTTTATATACTACTTGAGGGGCTACTTCACCCATTTCTAATTGGTTTTGAGTTGGTGACTCATGACACCCGAGATTTGCCCATATATGCCACCCCCAGCTTTGCAGATGAGACAGTCTGATTCTGTGACTCTAGAAGTCCTGCTTTGTATCAGCTTATATCACATGTTTATATGTCATGCACCATTCCACAGTTAGAACCCAGCCACATGTACAAGTTAAGACTAGATGACCCAAATGAAGGAACTTAGCTATAGTAGATCCAAGTTTGTAATGATATCAACTTCTCACACAGGCATTATTTGGCACCTCAGCAGCCATGAGCTACAGTGGGATGTTTTATTACAAGGATATATTATATAAGATTGACAAATAAAATAATTACTTACCTGGTCCTGACCACCAATATCCCATACAGTAAAGTTAATGTTCTTGTACTCAACAGTCTCCACATTAAATCCTGCAGTAATTTCAATACACAAGAAAAAAGGAAAAAAAAGTCACAAATTAAAAATGTGGTCAACCTAATAGAGATGATGTTACTTGTGTTACACAACAAACATTCAAGGAACCAAATTAACAATGTAACGGATGTGTGCATTCTGTAAGGTACTCGATTCTAAATCATACAATTTGAGGAAAAAAATTTCATGGTGTTAACAATGCCCTTATGTGTTAATGTAGACATGATAAATATATATCAGAAGTGGGGAGTTTGTTGTATCCACACACTAAGCCATCATGACCAAAACATCATTGATCAAATACAATCCAAAACTTTCTGAAAGGATCATGAGATACTTTCATCCAATCTATGCCTCAATGGTATAATCCATTGTCTTTAAGGAGAAATAACCTATTACATGGGTTTAAAACTTCATGCATGTGTTTGTCCAGAGCTAGAGAAAATGATTGGAAATAGATTTTATAGTACTTGACAGCATACCGATGGTAGGGATAGTCGTGACAACTTCACCCAACTTGAGCTTATACAAAATTGTGGTTTTACCAGCAGCATCAAGACCAACCATAACAATGCGAATTTCTCTCTTAGAAAACAGGCGACTAAAAAGCTTGGTGAAAGACAGCCCCATCTTTAGACCTGCACACCAACAATCCCAAAGTGAAGATCACATATCATTCAAATCAAACTTACCATCACTGAACACATAGCAAGCGACAAGTTTACTTACGGGTGAAATTTAAAAAAAAAAAAAACAGCAAACCACATAGATAGAACCCAAAATAAGAAATTTGCAAATTATGATAAAATGAGAAAAACTGCCCCTTATTCAGCACATAAAACTATTAAGAGATGAGGGAGAACAATACAATAGTTGTCTAGACGAAAGGGGCATGAACAGATTCAAAATTCAGTCCAATTAGAGTGAAAACTTCCCTAATCTTGAACTAGAACTACAATTTTAGGACAAAGGACAACCAAATCTCTTAATAACAACGCTAAGCAATAAAGCTTTATCAAAACTATTTTCAGTGAGCTTAACGTTTAATGGCATTCCACTGAATGTCATCTAAACCCAGTTTTGTTAGTCAAAAGCGCTCATTACAACGAGTGCTAATGAAATGATGAATATCAGAAAAGAGGTTGAGGGCCTGAGTTTGAACCAAGTTAATTCAAACTATTTCTTTCCTTGTAAACTTTTGAAAACAATTTATTTACCCAAAAAGTAAAAACTCTTTTTAAGACTATTCCAGTAAGCTAAGCTGCGGTATCAGAAACAATGGAAAATGGTGGAGAGAGAAAAGTGACTAACGAACTGAGAGAGTCGGGAGGGAGATCAGGAAATTGAAATGGATGGATGTAACACGTACACAGATTGGAGGAAGAAAAGCGAAGGGGTCTGTCAACAAATATATAAGACTTCCTAAGAAACGCAGTCCACGAATTGATCAAGGAAGCCAATACTTCAAATTTGGAGGGAATAAAATAGTCCACCCCACCCCAGAACAATTCTTGGCGACGAAGTATCAGGGATCCATGTCATCTCACCAATCAGGTGTCAGGACAAAGACTATACTTCTTTTGGGATTTTTTTGGGATAATTATATTTACACCCCTTAAAATTTGTTATTTAATTATTTAAATTCCTTGACGTTCGAAATATTACACACAAACCCTCTAAAATTTATACGTGCATAACACTTCGACCTCTGCCGTCAAATGTCCGTTAGTATATCTATTAATAAACTACACTCAGATCCCTTAAAATTTATAAGTATATAATACTTAGATCCTTTAAATTTAAAAGATTATGTGAAAACCAAAAATACTCTAATCAAACATAAAATATTAAATATTTTAAATTTTAAAATCAAAATTCATCTTATATTATATCATTTATTGAAATAAAATTAAAATTTTAATTTTAATTTTTACTTAAAAATCATAATTAGTATACAATTATACTATCTATTATAATAAAACTAAAAAAATAAGCAAGAGGTTTAAGTCATTCATAATAGAATATGAATTTTACAGTCAAAATTTATATTCTATTATGTCATTTATTGAAATAAAATCAAAAATAAAAATTTTAATTTTTCTTAAAAAATCATAAATTATTATACAATTATAATATTTATTAGAATAAAACTAAAAACTGAAATAAGTGATCAAATTGTAATAGAAGCAATATATTCTACCTTTAATTGTGATAATTTTTAGTTTAATTTGGTTGTTTAAATGATCAAATTAAATTCCAATAAATAACATAATTCTATACTAATTATAATTTTTTTTTTAAAAAAAATTTATTTTTTATTTTATTTCAATAACTATCATAATAGAATATGAATTTTTGTTGTAAAATTTAAAATATTTAATATTCTATCTTTGTTAGAGTATTTTTAGTCTATGTATAACATTTTAATCTTAAAGAGTCTAAGTATTACACGTATATAAATTTTAAGAAGTTTAAAAGTAATTTACAAACAGATATATTAATAGATATTGACAGCAGGGCATAAGTGTTATACGCGTATAAATCTCAAGAGGTTTGTGTGTAATATTTCAAACGTTGAATATTTAAAAAATGAGGTGTAATTCTCCCCTTTTTTTTTTTTTGGTTTGTTGGGCCATTCTTGTTATAGTGATGCGACGTCGCACCCAAGTCTGGAATTTCTTTTTTCTCCTTCCTCCTTCTGTAACTTCTGTACGGCAAAACAATTAACATATTTTACTCACTAATATTTTTTATTAAAACTAAACTCATATTAAGCCTTTGGCTATTGCAGGATGCAGATTAAACTTCAGAACCCCCACCTTTAGTTTTGCAGATCAAAATAATAGATTTTAGGGTTAATATCATTTTTGATCTATAAAATATGTATATTTTATTAATTTAATTCATAAAATATTCACATTTCGTCAATTTAGTCCTCAATATATAAATTTTATCAATTTAATCCCTAAAATATTTCATTCGTATTTAAATAATTCATACACAAACTGTCAAAATATTACATACTTTAAGAACCAAAAATATTATAATATGAACTGAATTATTAGTACGGTAACCTATTCATATACATATTCATATTTTGTTAAATTTAAACATAAATTAAGTGAAAATTTATATATTTTCTCAAAGACGCTAATTGGTCAAATCAAAATCCATTGAATGAAATTGTCCTCCTTGCAAGCTCTTACAACCATGAAAATTCACATGCCTCATGAAAATACCATGTTGTTTCAATGGCATCTGAGGGGTTCTTGCATTCCCTGAAAACGAACAAAGATCTGCCTACGATTTCCAAAATTGCAGAACAACAATCTCCTTCAGCTTGCTACAATTCAAATGATCATGCTTTCTTTATAGACAACCTCTCTGACCACAAGAAAAACACAAAAGAAGAAACAAATCAGTAAAACTTATTACCTGGTGAATCAAATATCATATCGACTAGGAGGGCATATTTTCGTCCTGAGTAAACAATAAGCTAGTCATTTCATCTGGCAACATTCAGATTTGCCCATTCTAAAAGAGACCAGCTCGGAATTTTACTTACTTATCAATTCATAAGTAACAATCATGGTAGTTCCATAGAGAGACATGTTCAAGAACAGGGGTCCGAACCCTCTATAGAAGCCTCTCCATCCATCTTCTTTAAGAAGTGTCTTCGCTGTCCTGATTACTGATGGCCTTCCAGCACCATAATCATCAATAACCTTCAATTTTAGAGAGAGTCGCAATCACAAAGAAAGGATCTTAGATTCTGACCTATTCAGTACACAGATCTGAATTAACATACTAAAAAACTAGCTAAAATTTTAGAATTGAAGATTGTTCGAGCTGTAGCTGTAGTAACACGAGAAACAAGAGGGTAATCCCATATGTCTTGTTACCTGAAGTCGTGTCTTTACAATGTCTATGGGAGTAGTAACAACTGATGAACAGGCACCAGCCACCATTCCTGCCGTAGCCTGAACTGCAACAATATCTAAATGAGATGGTTTCTTTTCCAAATTCTCTGCACAGCTCAAGCTCCTAAAGACACAAGTTAAAGAAAATAGAGAAAGAAATTTTAGTCAATTCTCCTAATAGGTTGCCAAAACATTTAGATATACCTCCATATGATGTGTTGGGCAGCACCATAGGCACCCCACCAAAGTGCAGATGCAGGGGATTGGGTCACAGCCGTCAATCCAAAGCCTCTATACATTCCACGGATTCCTTCAGCCTTCACCACCTTGCACACAATGTCAAATGGACCATTGCAAAATGTAATCCCCGGAAGCCCTTGTACCATTAGTCTCTGGCAAATCTGTGAATACACCAAACACAATCTCTAGAAACGAATCCAACCAGTAATCAAATTAAGCCATCGTTTTATGAGGAAAGGGGAAGATGGGTTGCCGGGGGAAATTGTCTAGAAATCTTCATATCAAAACTCACTGGCCTCTAAATGGCTATGCTCACATGAATCTGCAACCATTGTTCAAATTACAAAACCCTGTAAACTGAAGCTGGCCTACTCAGGTTTCAAAATACTGAGTTTTTAATGCCCAAACTTTTTTGGAAATGCTTAATCATTGTTGATCATATTTCCCTTTTTTTCGAGAAACTGAAGGACTTGCCCATTAAAAAATAGAATTCATTATGGGATGTATGGACATTCATACAAGTTAGACCTTGGAATGAAAGACAATTAGGAACCCTCTTGGTCTACGAGCCCGGGCCTCCTCCCGCTTCTTGGGAGCTTATGGTTATTAGCCTTAACCTCATAGACATCAAGGGATTTAGAGATTTAGAGATTTATATAGTAATTTTTAATATGAAGTAACTTAAACTAGGTGGACCTATTTTCTCCATGAACATACAATTTTTTTTTTTTCAAAATGCTAGGAACCAATTCAGAATAAGTTTTTTACAAGGAGAAGGATTAGGAAGGCCCTTGAAGTTAAACGACAATTGAACATAGAGTTGCAAGGAACTCTCGATAAACGAATAGATGTGAACTGAAACAGTATGTTTTAAGGATGATAATCTTGAATTGAATGTTCCTAACACCGCTCCCACAATACTTTCAGAAAGTCTTTGTCTTGAAATAATAAAAAAAAATCTTGTGTTCAATCACTCATACATGTATTCAATGAAATTATGTCTCCAATATATCATTTCTGCAATACCAACAGCATTATCTGGGAAGTATGGCTAAACTGACCTTAGTGCTGGCAATGTTCTTTTCAAGATTAAACATGTACAGAGATATCTGCCCTTGGAACAGTCTTTCCTGACTTGTACTTAAATAACTAATTAAAATAAACAACAGAACCACTGCGTTGAATTTTACAAAGCACAAACTACTTATCAACAACTAGCCCTTCTGAAAAAGGAGGTAAAATTGAAAAACCAGTTGATCAAAAAATCAGTTTCTTAATTCACAAAATCCACTGTTTCAGAATTTCAAATGCTTTTTGGTGATGGCAATGCTTTGTCCCATTCAAAAAAAACGACTCTACTAGATGTGCAGATAATACTAAAAAGTGCATGCTAGGATTTAAATCCCATTACCGCCGTTTAACAATTAAAAGATTATATCTGAAAGCAAAAAGAACATTTTTTGGGAATGCCAAAAGATAGGAAAGAATTAGTTTACCTACCACCTCCAATGGGACATAGTACACACAGGAAATTAAGTTCGACAACATGCCTGCCACTCCATTTGCAATGCCAACCCGAGTTGCTTCAGGCATATCCAGACCTTCTGTGCATTTCAGCATCATATCTTTTGATACTTCAAGTGATGTCAAAGCCAAGACCCTGCCAGGCAATGATCCGATGGTAGAAGTGCCAAAGCCTCTGAAAATGCCTGGGATACCATCATGTTTGAGAATTTGTCTAAAAACAGATAATCCACTCATGTGAGAGAGTCCAGAACTAGCAACTTGCATTCTAGTCTTCACAACTGCTGTTGGATGAATTAACGCCAACTGAGCAGTGAAGAGGATGGCCCCAATGACATGAAATCTCATCTTATCCAACCTAGTTAAGACCCAAAAAAGATCAGCTCTACTGCCTGTCTCAATAGCATAAAACTACTCTTATCCAATGTGCAAGGTATTTAGATGCATATAGACAGAGAAAAAAGGGCGGTAACAAATTGCAGCCACCAACCTCACTGAATAAGTCAAAAGTTTAGCAGGTGTAGGCTAGTGAACAATTATTTTACACAACCATCACCATCACAGAGTCCTAAAATGATAATCAGCGCAAACAAGTGAGAAAAAAAAAGACTCTAATTTGTACAAGCAACCATTCCGCTGAAAAACAGACCTAAAGCCCATCAACCAAGAAATTGGGAGCAGATAGAGCATTTTGAAGTTTGAACCCTCCCAGATTGTTGTGTAACAGCACCATTATGTCAAACATTACTGAGCCCAAAAATGTTGGAACAAAGCTTTATTGAGTTGAATTTTTTACCATTATGTCAAACACCTGATGCAAGCTCTTTTCCAAAGAGAGAGAGAGAGAGTTATATGCCATGCTATAACTTTTGTAGCCTATTTCTACATTAGTCATCATCATAGGCCTGTGCACATAAGTGTGATAGCTCGGTGTCCTACCCTGTTTTCTTTGGGTAATGAAACGACTTCTTTTATAGGAAAGCAAGGCTTTTACAAGGACAAAAAAGGGGGAAACTGAAAAACCCCTCTAAAGCAGATATATAAGCCTAAGTTGATTGATGGCTTTCCAGAAGAGACTGTTTTCAATAACTGAAAAGTGTGCCACCCTACAGAGCCACCATAAACTATTGACACCATTTCCACAGGTAAACATTGTCAGCAATAACACAAAGTTCTCGCTCTTCCACTAATAAAATATGCAATTGAAGTGATATCAACTGTATACCAATGAGCCTTTATCCAATGATACTCTTTGTCGTGTAAAGGTTTTGCCTTTGAGGTCAACCGTTCAAGTCCCTTCCCCTTCCCTCTCCCAAAAAAAAAACCCGTAGATTCTGACATAGTTTTCTCTTTGACAGATTGTCCTCGACATCAACTATGAAATTGGGGAACATCAGTGTCAAGCTAGCTTTTACCCAATACAATTTTAAATCCGTTCCAATGCTCACAACATTTGAATTCAAGTGTCAAAATTTTGAAGAAATGCTTGCAGAACGACAACTATAATAACGAGAAGAACAATAAAACCATACCATTGGAGCTGGAGATAGCCGGAGATCATGGACAAAGTTCGTAAATGTATTGATTCACTTCAAACTAATACAACAGAACAGTTTTGGAACAACAAACAAATGAAGTCGATGTGATCCGTAGAACACACCATTTGCATGTAACAAACTAAATCAAAGCAATTGTCCCTGGAGCAATATCTAAGTATATATATTATTTATATAGGAGTACGTACACACACACACATATATATATACATACACAGAGATATAGACCTGTCCCAGTTGATGTCGGTATCAGCGAGAGCCAACTCTGTAGCAGTTGCAGCGTCGGTTTCCACAGCCATCGTTAACTTCCTGCTTAAGTTTAATGGCAGTAAACAATGATATAGTGCAGTTGTTTAAGCTCTGCCTGATTTAAGCGATGAATGTTTGAAAGAGAGAGAGAGCAGGTGGGAAATAGAGAACATTTGAGAAAGTTCCAGGACTGTGTTTCGTATGCGGCAGGGTCACATGAGACGTGCATATTCAGGCGATGTTTTCTTGGGGATTTGAACAGCGGCGGCCTAACAAATCTGGACGCCCTGGCGAGAATATAAAGTGGGCTATTAATAGGTTATAATTATTAAAATATGTATTTTTTAAAAAAATATTTTTTTAATTTTTTGAGATATAAAAATATTGATTAATTTTTTATATTCAATTTTTGTTAATATATATTTTTCAATAGATAATATAACTAATTCATTTAATCTTTTTTGTGCATCGGTGATTGGAGATAAAATTTTATTAATTTAAATCTTGAAAAACTTCTTTCTACCGAAGTAACTGTTACTAGTATTGTTAATAATATTCTAAAACCTATACATGTATTTGAAAAAGAATTTACACATTTTATACAAGTTAGGGTTTCAACTAGAGTGTTAATTTCAAATTGTAGGACTTTTTTTAATACAATCAATTCTTGAAATAAATTCAATCCATTAATATCAGACAATAAGTCATGCTTCAAAAAAGTTTTAAGGTTAAGACAGTAACTTTTCAAACTATTATTATCTAAAGATTTTAATTTTTTAAAACAAAATAAAATACCAAAAATATTTTCATATATTTTGAATTATTCAAATCTACTATGATCGAAGAAATAGCTAGATCGACTATAAATAAAAAATACTCAATTCTAAAAAATTCTTCTGTTGATAGTGTTATTACATTCTCAATTGTTTCACCAAATTATTTTTTCCTAAAAAATTTACGTTTTTTTTCTCAAAATTCTGGTTCTATTTTCATATCAAGTGCAATCTCTTTTGATGAAATCAAAGTAGAATAAAATCTATTTTTTCTACATGATTCCAAAAAAGAAATAAATCTTTTTAATTGATCAATATCAACGTCAATATGTATGTCTTTGAATTATAAATTTTTACTAATTGTGCAAATAATATATCATACCAAATATTCATACCCAATAAAAATTCAAAATTTTCAATCTCATGTGTAGCTAAGCATGGGACTTCACTCCTTGTTTTATGATCTTCACTAATTTTTGCTAATTGAATTAAAACATCTTGTATTTTTGGAGTCTGATATTTAATTGCTTTAACACTTTCGATACAACTTTCTCATCGCGTTTGAGATAATAATTTAACAGTTAACATGGATATATTATTTTGTAAAATTTTTCATCGTTTTGTTGAAGAAAAAAATAATAAGTATATACGTTGTAATACTCCAAAAAAATATATAGTTTTAGGACAAGAGTTAACTATATCACAAAAGTACGGGGTTAAGATTATGACATCCACATGGTATGTAAAACGCTATTGGATTTAATATCTAGTAGTCTTTTTTGCACACCTTGGTGTTTTCCTTTCATATTAGATCCATTATCATATTATTGTCATTTTACATCATTTACATCAAGTCCAAGTTTTTTAATTACATTTATAAGTTCATCAAAAAGGCATTTCCCAGAGGTATCATCTACTTCCAAAAATTTTAAAAAATATTTTTCTATTTTTATTGGACTTGTTTAAATATCTACACATTACAGTATAAGAGTCATGTGTTTATTTTTATTGGACTTGTTTAAATATCTACACATTACAGTATAAGAGTCATGTGTTCTTGATGACTTACATCAAGAGTACAATCAAGTATTACTGAAAAATATTTTACTTCTTTAATCTTATTAATTATTACACTTTTAATTTCAAAAACTAACATTTATATTAATTCATTTTGTATCTTATGAATTTCACCATCTTGAATTCGTTGAACATGCTCTTGCATTATTGGATCAAATTCTGCAATTATTTCAATAAACTTAAAGGTTTCCCTTATTGTCTTGATATATTTTCTCATTCTTCATATGAAATGCCAGATTATTTTTAGCAAGTTTTTACTACAGCTAAAATTCTTACAACTACTTTTTTCCAATAATCTTTTTCTTTGTTAATTTGTTATTGAATATTTTCATCAATAGTTTTATTTTTTGACAATCTTATTTCTAAATCAACCCATGAATTCATGTCACTGATATGCTCATTAGTTGTTTCATGAGTTTTGAGCTTATAACTAAGATTTTTTCAATCTTTAGTTCCTTCATTAACTAATTAACTCCTGCTAGGCTTTGAATTGAATAACTTCCAACAAGAGCAATATACTCTATTTAAATCTTTTGAATATATTAACCATTTTCTATCATATGTTTCAACGTTTGACAATTTTCGAGTGTATAATAGAAAAAATGTCTATTATTTTCATCATTAGGAAAGTCAAAATCATTTTTAATTTTATGTCGATATTTTTCCATTGTCCTGGATTATAAATATTTATTGGAATAGAATCTAATAATTCACTAACATGTTTACAGTCTTTATCACTTTCTATTTCTTTTTTTGATTTATCGCTTTTTACTTCACTAACAAGTTCTCATTTTTTACCAATTTCTTGTTTACTAAAATGTTCACATTCTTTACCAATTTCATTTTCTTTTAGATCATTTTGACATTCCATTGATTTTGCTATATTATCTCGTTGAAATCATTTGAATTTTTTGTTGTAATTGGTTTATAACTAATAACAATTTTATTGAATGCTCTTTTTTGAGATTCAATATATTCATCTTGTTTTCTCTTTTTTTTATATGTTTTTCACATCTAGAATCATATTTTCGAGTAGACATACTAATAATATAACTTGGAGTAACAACAATGAAAATTTATAATACAATTTACAAAAAATAAATTAAATTAAAATAAAAGTTAAAGAACAACAGAACCTGGTACTGCAAAAGAGCAAATCAATTGGCTTTGTCAACACACTCACAACATCGAGATTCACAAACAACAATCAACTATCAAGATTAAAACATTTAAGTTTCTGTCAAAGAAAGAAACATTTTAAATCAACAATAATATCAAAAATAAGAAATCAACATATTAAAAATTCTAAGCACACTAAACTTCTAAAATCTATTCTAATAAAAAATGAGAGAATAATTGAACAAACTAGTTTATTAAAGTAGATTGAGCCCCAAAAATTCTGACATTTGAATCTTGATCATTATCAATTAATTAATGGGTTGTTGAACTACAAGAGATTAAAGAATAGAGAGCTTTGGTGTTTTTTTTTTGTTCAGATTCAAACTTCACAGACGAGAGAGAGAGAGACGTCTCTTGTCATATCTACCTTCCTTCTTGCAAAACTCTTGCAGTCTTCTATAGTTGACAAGGAATCTAATAGTCTACTACAGCTGACAAATGGAGTAATTTTCAAGGTAAGTTATTAAAGTATTAATGGACTTATTAATAAAATTTGAGCCCTCTCAACTCTGGCAATCCAAAATATATTTACTCAAAATTAAAACTCTTTACTAGAGGCCCTAAATTTTGCAAAAAATGGGGCCCTAAGCGGCCAACTAAGTGGCCCAAGCCTAGGGCTGACCTTGGATTTTAGTTATGTCTAAATTTAATAACACCCCCTTCTTAATTTTGAAAGTTTATTGTCACCCTTTTTCAGTGCTTGTGAATTACGACGCAATTGTTGATTTACAGATTTACAAAAACACCTTAAATATTTTATAGGGTAAATTTTCTCCACACCCTTTATAAATAGACCTAACTTTAACAACATCCCTTGTAAATAGACCTAACTTTGACAACATGTTTTAGGATTCTGAAATTTCAATGCAACCCTTTTAGTTATATTAGCAATGCATTTTGTGCGTTGCATGTAAATAAATTTAATACATAAAAAATGATAAAAAAATATTAGGTATATGTGTGTCAAAATTAAATATCATTTCAAGTTTATCAAACTTATTATTTATCGTTCAGTGTATATTTGTGCCTAAATTAAATATTATCTCAAATTTATTTTTTTATTGTTCAGGTTGTATTATAAAATTATGAAGATTTTGTCTATATCTAACTATAAGAAAAATGATAAAAAATAAAAAATAAAGATTATTTTTTAGAAGTTTGAGATTGAGAGTGATTTTTTTAGTGATATTTGAAAAATTAAATTTTTTGAAATTCATTTGATTTGGATTCTACTTATAATTTATTGATTAAAATAAAAAAAAGTATCAATATCCTAATCATATTGACACGTTACTATAATTAAGAATTAGTTAGGTTAATTGGTATAAAATATACTACTATAATGATACATATATTTTTTAAGAGTAATATAGTCAATTTAAAATTTTTATAGATGTTGACATTTATACCAAGAGAATAGATAATTAGAAAGATGTTAGAGGATAATTTGGAGATTTAAGCACATAAGAATATGATGGTAATTTAGTTATTTAACTATACAAGGATAGAATGACCTTTATAATTATTTATAAGGGTAAAATTATGAATCAAAAGTTTTTCACTTAAGATACTTTTATTAGTAGTATAGATATAGATATAGATATAAATTATATTAGCCTTTAGGTTCATCAATTTAATATTTAATTTTGTCAAATTAATGTCCTTATTTAATTTAAACTAAATTAACATTTCATCTCATCAAATCAACACAAAATTAATATTTAATTTTATCAAATTAGTATTTAGTTATATTAATTTAACATTTTATTTCATCAAATTAATAATATTTATTTAATTTAATATTAAACTATTATTTAATTTTATCAAATCAACACCAAAAGAGTGTGCATTTTTGACATAACAAAGGATAATTTTGGCATTTTTACAAAATATTTAGTCAAATTATTTTTCTTATTTTATTTACCGGCAAAGACAAAAGTTACCGCTAAAGGAATATCATTGATTTAAAAGTATAAACCAAAAGAGTGTGTAGTGAAGTTTCAAAATCGAGAAGGGATGCC